AGATTTCGTAGGCCCTTCTGACAGGCCTCCTCGCGCAGGTGGCACTCGCTGCGGTAGGTTTTGTCATCAGTCCCACACACTTTGCCTCCCAGACCGCTTTCGGGACAAGAAGGACAGGAGCACTTGTAAGCCGGAGTGGTGTAAGAAAGAGAGGTACCCTGATTCATTTGAGCAGATTCATCTGGACTGCAAATCTCATATCTGTGGCAGTAAATGCCATGGCGATCACAGACGTTTCCATTGGTGGCTGAGAGCAAAAAATAGAAAAAAATTCAACCTTTAAACCATTTACATAATGTTCAGACCTATTCAGTTTATATCGATGTTTGAGAGAGTAAGGATAGTTGAAATAAACTTGGTAGAAATCAGATGAAACGCTGTCAAATACAATTCCAAGTTAAGTACTAAATGCCGAATTTCGATTAATTTCGCCAAACCAAGATAAAATAATAGAAATATCAACCGGTTAGTAAGTAAAAGTATTAAATTTAAGAATAATACACAGGAAAACAAAATGTCAAGGTTTAATGGATTCCAACTACCTTATGGCACTATCGATTTTCAAGTAGTAAAAAACCGGGCGAACACAACTCAGATTCGATTATTTTGTTGTGGAAATATGCTTAAAATTCCAAATTTTATGACCTAAAAGATTTGTAAAATTCTGTGTTTGAATAAGAAAATAGAGAAATAAGGGGAGTAGATATGCGGTGATGTTGTACAGATGAAAATCATCAATTTTTTGACATCAAACTTTCAAAGCAGGAAGTATTACAATTATATGACCTCAATACCGATACCGAAGTAGTTTAAATGGAACCTAAAACCTAAAACTTGCATGTTTACTTATATTTAACATTCGTTTTGAGCTTTAGGTTATTCGCTGTATACCCTATATTGTCAATACTAATTTAAGAAGATATAGCGATTGGAAACAAGTATCTCGATTAAACCTTTGTAGAGCTTCAATTTTGGAAAGTCCATTTATGTTTACCCTTCCTTAAAATGCCTTAAACCATCTCCAAATAATTGGCTTTTGACACAAAAAGTGACTTTTTCTTCAAATGAATCCCTGAAATTACCATTTATTACCATTTTTCCATATCCAAATCGAATCCATCCTTTATGCCCTATTGTCAGTAATACTGAAATAAATTAAATGAGCAATTCAATGGTGAGTATAAGTTCTTTGTTTATCAGGTGTGCTTTGATTGATTATACTTGCCCTTATTATTTACAACAATATTTCATTTTCTTTTAGATATTCGTGCCAAATCGCACACAAAAACTGTAATTACATTGCTAGATGCCAATCGTGCAATTTCCTTTGCGGAGAGGTCTTTAGATGTAAACGAACCTTTCATGACTGTGACTCTTGGCTTAGCATCTCCGCTGTGCCATTTTGGTATCTTTTCTGAAGTAGCAAAATTTGTGCTTTCATTGTCTTCAATCATAGCTTTAGTAGGGAATCGTTTTTAATCACTGACAGTGCAATTTGCGCTTAATACGTGGTCAAGAACACTATCTCTGTTCTTAGTAAAATTCAAGCGCATTAATAAGCAAAGAAATTGTGCCTTGAACACTCAGTCCAAAACATCATGTAGATGTCCTTATCTCAGAGAATATTAATAGCAAAAGCATCTGTCATGCATCTTCGTCGTTGTCTGATCCAAAAATAACCTTTCCCAAACCCGCGTATTTATTGATGTCTATAAAAGTCTGCTCAATTTCGTATTTAATAAGTTTAACTTTACTTTTTTGCCTGCCAACTTTGCATTCGAGAGGTTATCAGAGTAGTAGCCCGGTGGTCACATTCTCCAGGTAAATTGTCAGTGAGTTAAATACTGAATGCTAGTTTTTAAGTCCGAGGTTATCTCCCCTTCATCCTCACACACTTATTCAAAATTTTTAAACGCACTAAAGTAAAATGTAAAGATAAAAACACTTCTTTAATCAAATGATTTAAAATCCCATTTTTAATCAAGTGCTTTCATACTCAGATGGATACTCTATCTATATTAACATTTACATTGGCATTAACAATAAGCCTTAAACTTAATGATGAGGTTAGATTGCACAACTCATTTAATAGGTCTTTGGGTGTAATTTAATCACAAAAATCCACAATAATCAATGTTTTGATTATTAATGTATTGCCTTAACTTACAGCATGGACCAGCGTATACCACCCAGATGTGGCTCTTAGTTTGACAGGCAGTACGAAGTAGATGGCAGACGCTGTCGTAAGTGACACCGTCAGATCCGCAGACGGGAACGACAATGGCTGGACAGTTCTCTGGACACACGCATGTCTTCCGGCCTTGGATATCTACACGACACTCTGCACCTGGCCATTGACAGCTCTGCTCGAGACATGGGTTTACGTCTAAAATGGTAAAACATGACACTTGATAAAATAATTCATCTTATTTCTTCCTCAAGGTAGCTTGAGGCTTGCAGCCACTAAATAAATAACGATTTTAATTTACAATGTTTGAAAACAGTCAAGCATGCTTGATTAGACGGAAAAAATTTAAGACGTGGAGTCAAAAAACTTTGAACAATGTAAAAATTTTGTATTATTTATTAAAACGATTTTAGACCCCTTATTTTCTTTATAAAATAGGTAGACCAGTTTTAACGTTTTTTATTGTCTGGTGAGGATGGCTTTTTATCTAACCATCTGAAAATTTATAAATTCAACAGCTTAACGTTTTTGGATGACTAAATTATATCCATTCAAATCTATTTAATACCATTATAAACCCCAAACTTAATAGTTGCGTATACATACAGAGATCTCAGTCAAGTTGAAACCACAAGAAGGATGTAAGTAGCGAATCTTAAGTGAACTCTAACGAGTAATCTCGCTAATATCTTGGGGGGTAAGGCTGCATTGCAGTGCTTTCCCACTGAGGGTTCTACAACCTGAGAAGAATTTTTGGACGTTCTGGGCCTTATGCGTTTCATTCCACACAAAAAATAAAAGTCATTAGAACCTACTATAAGCTTCTATTATGAATTGTAGAATGCAGTTATTCATGTTCTCATTCCTAAGGCGTATTCTTAAATTTTACTGTGATGGCAAATGTCCTTTGTTATCTTTCATTCAATCACCGTCTAAGGCAGAAAAAATAGGGAAAGGGGAAAGAATGGCATTGTTTGAGAAATTGTTCAAAGAATTAAAAACGCATTATTGTTTTGTGTTTTAACGAATCTCCAGCACAGTCTAGTAGCATTATGCATTTGAAATTGTCATTTATTTATTTAAATTAATTTAATGCAAGAAGCTTGATGATTCCGTCCCCATGATTGGAATTGTGAATGAAATCGCAAACAGTGTATTTTCATGCTATTAACCTATACATTTAAAGCTCCCCAATACAGTGGGATTTAAAATAAATGGTTTAAATAGATTCAAGAAAAAAGTTCTCAAGAACTACTTTAAACGTAAGAACATTCTGTATTGCAAACATAGACTGATATTTTATGATCTTGATTGCTTTGAAATGCTTTGTAATTGTATTAAAATAACGAACCAGCAGCACAGATGTCATCAAAAAGGACTTGAAGTTGGTGGTTCCCGATACAAGCCTGCTGTCTCATCAAACAAATACTGGAATAAGTTCTCCCATCATTTGCACAGACAGGTTTGCTATCCAACGCTTCGCAATCCTCAATTCCACAATGACAGAATGGGTTCCTCTTAGCATCCAATCGACAAATCGTCCCCACAGGACAGTTAATTGAATCACAGGGGTCTAATTTGATTATTTATTAAACAACGGCTCACCACATCGCCCCCAGTACTTCAACTCGATGTTGGTCATGAGTGAGCACGCCTCTCGCTTAAGATGACACAAACTCGCATAGTTCATCCCATTTGATCCACACACAGGACCTGAATCGTCTGAGTCGCCAACATCATAACACTCAGAATAACAAATGCAATTAGGATTCCTATAAGTCTGTGACGGGATGCACCACGCGTTAAAGGGGCATATATATCCCGCGCACGGATTCTTAAATTTTTTTGGAAATCGAACTCGGAAAAAGGCATCCTCTTCACAAATGGAAAAATATATTTGAAAAATCATAACTAGGTGTACCAAGGTTGTCATTGTAACCAACTGTTAAGTTATTTCCTCGTTTTGGATTGAAATTGAAAGAAAGAGAACCAATAGGAAGAGGGGAAGATTCTATTGGTTGTATATGTTAGTTGGCTAACCTTTATTGGATGATTTACATGGACCGCTGTGGAGAATACGTTTGGGAGACTGTTGTATGCAGGCGGCCAGATTTAGGAAGCATTCTCCAGGGTATGTGACTCCGTCCTCTCCACATACGGGCTCCTTGTACCACTTCTCTGAGCACCTGTAGTGATCACAAGTGCACACTGTTCCACGAGGTTCGGATTTAGAAATCATCAGAGCTGATCCTGATGTATAAGGAGAATATTCGCTATCACTGTTCGTACACATTGCTCCGAATTGGCAATAATTGGCATGATCGCAGAAAATAGGTTCAATATCTAAAAATTGTTTTGGAAAACGGTGGGAATTACTTATGACAAAATGACGGAGACGTAGAAAGTCCTCGATAAAAGTTCCAAAGTAAAGGAAACAACATCAAACGTTGAGAAACTGTCGGAGTCTTAAGCAAAATAAATGGGACGGAATCTTTTAACGCTGTGATATTCAAAGCATTTGAACTGTTATGCCGTCATATTTTGTTATATGATTCAATTGAGTATTTTAATTGTTGTGAAAAATCAATGAGAATCAGTACAATCCAATTTTAATGGAAAGTATAATTTTTCAGAATAAAAAATAATATTTCTTCTGTTTCAACCTAGCGTTTTATCCAATAATCCATATTAAAAGCTTTCAGTGCTGTATTAGGTCTATTTTAAGAACGTATCTTCAAGAAATAAGTCGTAAGTACCACAGAAAGTTGGCTAAACAACTCTCCGATACCTTCAAAGTAAACTTGTGTTAAGGAAATTGACTACCATCCCTCAAACCCATTTCTTGAAATTTCCCACTCAGTTTATTATTCAAGTGTATGTCTTCTAAATGAACCTCCATGAAAATAATCACTGCTGTAGATGACATTCTAATGAATCCCTATTCCTGTTAACTTTCTTTCCTCAAAGTAAATGTAAAAAATGTAGTTTTAAAATTAGAGTGATAGGTAAAGAAAATTATTAATAATTTAGCTTTGCTACTTGGTATTTTATAAGTAGAGTAAAAGGTAGATACAACACCTTCGTTTACTCATGGTAAAAAATTAAGGCGTCGAAAAAGTAGAAAAGACAGGAAAAATGAGAAATATCCATTCAATTGAGATGTAATATTCTTGACCATTCAGTTCGAAAATTCTTTACTTAATGTATTTTGAAATAGGAAAATGATTGATTTTTGTAGATACAATTTCTCCTGCTAGTTGTTCATAATTTCATTGGACTAAATAGTGAAATGTAACTTCGAAACTCAGGTGCATATCAACACCGTCTTATCAAAGAGCTGCTCATGTGAGGTGAAATAATAGAGCATTTGCTGCCGACAAAGGCCCGCTGAAAAGAAGAAAGCGTCGTGATGAGTAATCGTGTAGAAGGCCTCCATTCTCAACACAATTCAAAGAAATTGTGCTGCATGTGTTCCTTTTTAATGGCATCTTTATGTGCCTATGTGCAAACGGTGCAACTCCGCTTCTGCACAAATTTGTGCATACGCTCACTATCACTCCAGTATTGTATTTCACAGCGCCTAAATTGTCATTTATATTGTGGAATTGTGATTTATTTCATTTTGCTAATTTGACTGACTAACTGCTCTTCATTACCCTTCCAGCCTCCTCCCACACAAATTACGGTGTATATTTACCTATAAAGATTGTAAAAGGTCAGTTAATTGCTGGTTTCTCATGGTGGATTTATGAAGGGAGAAGTAGAAGGGTTCTAGAACAAGATTGAAACTATAGCTCTATAATCGCCAGCTCCAAGATTTTATCCAATTTTCTACGTCATTTACAACCTTTTATTCATGATTCACATCTGGACTTATAAGCAGTTTATCGGTTTCTCTTCCATATTGAACAAATGTGATTTTAGAGCGTTGATCTGGTATTTAGTAACAGTTCAAACCCATTCTTCATACTCTCACAATGGACTTGATTTCCCTTTTGCTCTCTTTCACTTCCTCCCTCCCCTCACCTCCCCCCCCCCACGTTTAAGAGCTATTTGCGTTCCTGGAACAAGAGTTTAATCTGAACACCATGCCAGATTTAACAAATCTGAAAAATACAAAAAGTAGACTAAATGAGATTCTTTTTTTGTACATTGAGAGAATGGGAGCTGAATTGTGATATCAGTGTTTTTCAAAAAATAGTATTCAGATATCTCCGAATCAAATAGATGCCTATTCATTTACCAAAAATATCCCCAAATTTTATTCTTATTACATTTTAAATTCATTTAAATGTCCCTTTCCAATGTGCACACATACTGAAAAGATTAATTGTTTAAACGTTTTTTTAAGAACATCATCGTTATATCAGAAGTTAATTAAACAAAGAAGTTCTTTAAAATCCTCTGTAGGGAAAACGTTTATGCGAAATTCCCAGTCGTTCATGAACCGATAATTCAAATTAAAATGTTGACTTAAAGTGAAATGCTCTGTTTTATTTCATGATCAAAATGAAAACAAGGCAAAGGGCTCATACTCACAGCTAAAAATGTAATAATTCTTGCTCCAAAGCGTGTGATAGTGAATCTGAGAAAACGAATCATTAAAGCAGACCCGTTGAGATTTAAACAGTTTCACATGTCAATCTGAGTATTGTATGGGATCAGTGAACATCTGAATTGTTAAAAAATGTACGAAATTGACATCAACAATTTACATAGTTTAAAGATACATTGAAACAGCATGCAACCTATAATATTTTATTTGAATATTTTTGTCTTTTCAACTGATATGATATTTTAAATTTCGTGTGCTCTATTTGCTTTGTTTTCAGGGTTCAATATTTTGGTTTAATGAAATTCCTCTTGTCAACTCGACTGATGAAAGAAAATTTGACTAAATCGAATACCGTTTCATATTGAAATCATATAATTATCTATGTAACTTAAATACTATAAGATAAGGATATTAATTAAAAATATAATTAAAGTAAGTTGAAATACTGTGAATTATTTTATTGATCCTTGGAAATTTATCTATCATTTGTTTTAATAAACGTGCCGTCTTACGCATTTTTTTCCATTGTCACCACCAGTCACCGATTATCTCACTTTTATTCAAAGATCCCAATTAGTATTCCTGTTATTAATCGGTCTGCAAATGATTGGATTATTGATTCAGGAGATAAGTGGAATGACTTTTCAAAGTATATATCCTGAAGCTCTCTGACCAACCACAATGCTGCTGAGTTATATGTCAACTCTGATATTTTCATTGAAACCTCTATTTGCGCTCGTTCGGAAGCTGTGAATTTATAGTAACCTCCTTTAAGCATAACTGAATTTATATGAACTTTACCTTATCAATATGTTCCAACACTGGAATGTGCTGTTGTGAACCACTTTCTTCTAAAATTACAATGTTCAAATACACCGATAAATGTCAACTATTCAGTAAAATGAAATATCACAATGTTATAAGACTTATTTTTTGTACAAATTACTTCTAACAGCTAGGATCAAATTTATAATATTTCTGAACAATAGACACACTTAAACAGACTAACCAAAACTAGATTAGCCATCAGATGGGAAATTAAGATAATTTATCTATTTTATATTACACTAATGCGCATTACTATTGACTTTACTTTGGCTACCACTGAGCTATTGGATATAAGAAGGGGGAATGCCGATCACTCGGTCGTCGCTTTCCCTTACTAAGAAATACATTGTCATGAATATTCGAAGGAAAATGAAATTATTGACTTCTTAATTCCAAACGAAATGCAATATTGAGATTGGCTATACAGCAAAAAATCGATAATTTAATGCATGAGCGACAGGGTATATGAACGTCATTCACTTGAGCAAAAAATTTTCAATTTGGCTAGCAACCATTGCTAATCGTCTCATTATTTATACAAAATGCATTTATTCTCTTAAATACAAAAACGTGACCTGCTAGCTAATTGCCTATTCTACTAAGATTGAATCATTTTCAGCAAATTCAAATTTCAATATGGTTAAGAATATAAAATTCATGGTCTACTGTGGTAAACATCATGATAAAAAATTAGATGGAACCACAAATACATTTCCAGGGATACAATTTTGGAGGAATTTGACAACAAGAAATAGGTGGTAAGTGTAGTATTTGGATGGTAAAAAAATTCCAACATCTGATTTATTGTTGTTTGTTTAGTTATTGATATACGCAATTAAAATATATTTCTGAATTTGTTTTAAAGAGCAGTTTTCTTTTATTTGAGTATTGGAGTGCTAGGATTTGCCAAATCATTAAAAAATAGCGTGAAGTAATTAATATGAATTTAAATTAAAGCCAGATTGTTGATTCCTGAAGCGCAATTCGGTACTAAAACTTTCATTTTAATTTAGTTAGAGAGGTACGCATTAAACAAAGAATCATCTCCTTTAGCCAGTGTTTATTTTCAGATCAAAAAATGCTTAGTCATCAGCGAAAAGTAGCAAAGTTTGTTGTAGAGACTGTGGCTAGCTGTTTCGAGTAACACTTATTCGACAGTGTAGCAGTAGGAAACATGATCAAGTTGTTCTGCATGAAGGATTGAAGAAAACGAAGCCTGGCAATAACTTAAGAATATATAATTCAATTTGTTCATTCATCGTTCATTGGATTCTAATTATCTTTACGACATAAAGACTGGAAATTGGCTCAAAAGAGTTGGGTCAAAGCTTTTGCCCCTTTAACGCCCTGCAGGGCACCACATGGTCCTCGTTCAAAATAAACTCCAATAGTACTAGTTTCGTAACAGAAGGCACTATTACCGTTTGTAGCATGCTCAATGCGTCTTCGTAGCCTTCCTCTGATACCATCAAAACTCATTATGTCGGAGCCATCAGCCGGTTGTGAGACACGCGTGAGTGCAGTTGGGTGCATTTTTCAAAAATTAAATCGGACATTAAAGGTTTTAATTCAGATTTTCTTCTTTCGTGTTAAAGTGAAGTGAAAGACTAAGGGCTATCAGATAATGATGTCATAAATTCGCTGTTTAGCGTCTCCTTCATATTTATTCAATCATCTCTTTTCCCATGCCACCACTCGACCCCATGTTTTGCTTGAGGGAGAGAATTTATGCTTGGCTTGTCTCAAACAGTTCAGACGAGTAGTTGGCAAAAACGCCAAAAGGATCAGACTTTTACTTAAGATCCTTTTTGCATACGATGTCATACAAAGTTTCAGTGTTGAGGCTCTTGAGGTTTAACCAAAGTAGCGGTGCGCAAACGCTACAGCATTCAACGTGGAGCAGCTGCAAAGTCAGTGATCACGAACTGAATCCACAAAGATGATGAAAATCTAAAATCCTTCCACAACACTGAAATTTTTAACACATAGAAATAATTACTAAACTCTAATGAAAATGGTTCCTTTATTTGGAAATATGCAAAAGATTGGAGATAAACTGTTTCAGCGCAACTACTGTTTTTATTGTGAATTATTGTTTATGCTTGCAATGAAATTATCAATACTTAACGCCTCTCAGTTTGGCAAGTTATCTAATAGCTCTTTGAATACTTAAATGCCAAGTATTTAGCATTGTCCAAAAACCAAGAATTAATAATGGCCTTATTTGTTTAGAGGATTTTGTGTTGACAATGGCGAGTGTTTGTTTTCCATAAAATATGAACAGAAAGTTGAACTAAATTGTGATAAGCCAATTAATCTAATATTGCGCACAGATGTGAATGAAAATGCGATGAAATGAATTACGATTTGTTTAAGTGAAGTCTTATTGGAGGTCTTAAGATCGTGATTCTCTTACCCACAATAAATCTTATAAACTGTAAAAGTCAGTTCCTGAAAAGTTTAATTTAGAATTGGGCAAGTAAATCTCGAAAAAGGAACCATATTTGAGCAACTTCGGGGAATTAAAATGCAGCACTATTAGTCAATTCAAATGATTTAAATAATTAATTAAGTTGTGATTTGAAATTAATCGACTGCTCGTTCGTAAAAAGATTAGCTAATCGATTGTGGTATGTTCTAATTCCAATGAATAAGTTTGTGGTAAATATAAGGAGACTATTGATTGATCAGAAATATTGGCCACAATAGGAATGTTTCTGAAAATTTTCTCGTGATGTTTTACGTAATGTATCAACAAAGCAGAGATGATTAACGTATCTGAGAACATGTCCGTATCGAAATGTAAAGTGTTTAAACCTAGTCTAACACCGAAGATAGCACATTTTAGAAGTTATAAAATCAAGAGGCATTACAGCTACAATGTTTTTTATTTCCGGGAGATATTTCTCCAAAGACAAAAAAGTGTAAGAAAGTCAAATGTTCCTTTTAAGCGTCATTTCATAAAAAAGACATTTTTCCCATTCAAATTTCAGTTTTTGTAAATGAACTATTATGTTTTAAATTGTGCTAAGGTGCGCTACGAAAGAATAAGCACTTATTTAACACTCAACTTCATGAAATTTTGCTTGAAATATGAAGTAAAATGTGGAATTGCTCGTATTCTGACACTCTTCATCTAGTGAACTGAAATGTACTTTCTCTTTTTGTTGCATCTAATTTCATTACTACATTTCTTCCGAAATCAAAGTTATTTAATTCCTTTATAAGTAAAATTACAAACAATAATTTCGTAAGTATTTACGATTTACCGAACTTGATGCACTTTTGCTAATTAAACTCATTTTAAAGTAGTACACCAACAAAGTTTACCTGGAGGTTTGGAAGGGCAATATCCCCAGTGAATGATGTGCAAGTCATTGATCGCCTTTGATTGGCAGGCTTGAAGCTTCAATATGCAAGGATTGAGGTATGTTCTGTCGTCACTTCCGCATACTGGTTGAAGAGCCTTCATTGAACATGAGAAGAAGCAGTCCTTTTCAACTGCTGAAGCCGAAATTTGCGGATCTCTTTTTCTTTGGTAGACATAATCTTGTTGGGGTTTTTCTATATGTAGCTCTTCTTGAATTGGCAGTTTAGGGGGTTCTTTAGTAACTCTGTTCGGTTTTGGAAAGATTTTAGGTTGCTGTCTTACAAGGCGAAGTTTTGCTTGTTCTGAAATACAAAGAAAAACAATGACTGATTTAAAGTTAAAATAAACTTTGCTATTTATTAGTGAATTATTAAGTTGATATTAGAGTTAACGTGAATCAATAGGATTAACAGTCGGATTAAATTAAAAGGTGTTTCTAATTTTGAAGAAATGAAAATGCCCCAGGATCTTCAAAATGAAATAGGACTTTGCATTCTTAAATTTCCTGCAGTTAATTCACCTCAAACTTTTATTTTAAACTTTAGTCAGTATATCCACGGCCTTCTCTTTAAATGAAAGAATTATACATTTGAATTTACTTTGCACCACGTAAAACTAGGGCCACTTTTCTGATCGTTTCAAAAGCTCCAAATTTGGGGCGTTTGCAACTGATTTTGAATAGTGATCAGAAGCATGTGTTTCTAGGGTAATATTTCTAGTATTAGTATTGAAAATAAAGCACACTGTATGAATGAATTTTTATATTTGCTCATTCCCAATTCTTTGAATAATTTTAACGGGGTTTCAAGTATCGAATTGGTGCGATCTCGAAAGCATATTTAGAAGAGTGTTTTGGATGTCCTAACTGCTGTTGCATTTCAATGCATGAATTGAATAGGGTGTTTTGGGTTTTGCTGTTTGGATTTTATAGATGTGAGTAAACTACATTTGATTTCGCATCACTTTAATAATGCAATGTCTTCTGTTCACAATTCAAGAACGGTTTCACCATTGAAATTTTAATTTCGCCAGGCTCAAACATATCTATCAAGAAGATAACCAAAGCAGTTGACAGCCTTTAAATTATTACAAACAGGTGAGGTATTCTTGAAAACATGAAGTAATAGGAATGTTTCTGAATTCGTTTTCACGTGATTTCTTTTTGGTGTTTGGAATTGAACTCTACGAGAGATAGCTGGCGGGAATCTGGTGGTCAATCGTCTGTGGTCCTATGCACTTGAGGCGAAAGTTGATATCATTTGCTATGTTCAAAATTTATAAAATAGCATAATAATTTAAAGGAAAATAGAAATGATTCGGCATAATAAGCGACTTCATTAATTTTCAAACAGTAGCAAACAGCTCTTCAAACAGAATACAAAGGGGGGGCTCTTTCTCTCCATTGACAATTAAAAGAAATATAAATTGCGTAAACCTTATCGCTAGGGGGTCTTAACTGCCATTTTTTTTTAAAGTTAAAAGTGGAACGCAAATTGAAATTATACATTTCTATATAAATGGCATTTTCATTTTTCAATTAATTATCTTGCGTTGAAAAAGGGTTAGAAGACTGGCTAAAATAGTGCCACTGGTATGAATGCCTTCATGCTCCTTTATTCTTGACTTGACTAAGAGATTAAGTCGTTTCCCCATTTTTACAATTCTCTAACAATTCTACTGTGAACTATTACAAATACAATTTCTGTAGTCATTATTGAAAGATGCTTGATTGAAGATAAAATTCACTTAGATGCATAATTGAAATTAGAATTACAAAGTAATTGCTAAATTTGATACTCTGCGGTGAATTATTTCGATGATAAGTCAGTGTATGGACGTCTTCACACCTTTATTAGAAAAGAGGCTTCCGAAGATTTTCCTTTACTTTACATTTTTGGCAGCGATGACAACAATGATAAGTAAATAATAAAGATGACCAATTTATCATAGCACATTTTTGGAGACTACGAAACGAATCTCGCGCACGTTTAAACTCTCTGAAAGTGCGACGTACAATCGATCGGTTATGGAGAACACACACTGACACGCGTTACGAGGCCTCTCAGCCAATCAGCGACCAGTAATCGTGAAACGTTAGCCTAGTTGTACCCAATTACAAAGCAATATTGCTCAAAACTCCTCCACTCAATGTATCTTACTTTCTCGCTTGGCTAAATTTGAGAACCTTTTAACCTGGAAGATTTTTCTTGAGGCTCCTTGTACGCATCTCCAGATACTTGGACCTCTAGGTTTGGCCAGGGCTTATATAGTTAATTTTACATTGTGGAAAAATAAACAACATCAGTAAATAAGTAATTAAATGGAGCAGGAAGAAACTACAGTGAGGTAAAGGAGTAACGAGTGAATTGAATCGCTCGTCATTTGACACCTTGGATTTGAATTGCGCTGTTATGTTGATGGGTTGGTCAATTACGATTGTCGGTGTTGCTATTTCTGCGTATTCATCTTTCAAATGTCGTGAAAGCAAGATTATATTACTTGATATTAAGCAAGGCCTGATCCGAAGTAGCTCGGGAGGTCTTGTCATTACATATTCAGTATTTTCACTATAAACAAAAAGCAAGGATTTCTCTATAGCTTTTGCAATTTTGCAATTTATTGGGTGGGCAACTAAGTCATTGCCGTTTTTGTT